AAATGAAATTATTCCTGCCTCTTTCAAGACTCAAGGGCTTGATTTAGCTGGATTTGGAATGTAACACCATTCTAGTAAAGTAATGATTTTAAAGAATCAGCGCTACATTACTCTGCTCTATTTACTAGAGCCTGGCCCCCACAACAGTACATTTACCTTATTCTCACACTTTCGAAGTAACTTCTTCTTTCCCAGGTCATAGACTCGTAAAAGCTTCCCCACACCAATCAATACTCTCCCCTGGAATGGGGCAATGGCAGCAGGAACCTCTTCCACTGGAGTCTAGGAGAAGACAAGTAGGTTGTGCCATTATTAGGACTATAGCCACACATTTCTCAGACCCTCAACCCAGAACTGTTGTGACAAGCATCCATCACTAAGACAAGTTCATGACACTATTCTGCTCACCATACAAATAAACATGCACGCAGCAGTACCTGTGAAACAGTGCATTTGAGTAAACAGGTTGCACATTTCACCCAGCAGGTAGGTCAATGTCACAAGTGAGAAGCAGTCCCAGTGCCTAATGAATGCTGTCCAGAGAACATGTTCAGATTTACCTAGCACCATGAGCTAACAACAAAGCCTTGACATCTAAGAAGCACTGAGGTTTGTGGGGAGATGAGAAAGGACTGCTAGTAAAAAGTGACAACTTAGTTCTAAGGGAGAGACAGCAAGTTTAACATAAAGGCTATGTGATAGGAATGTTCCCTAGAGGACATGCCTCTTATGCTTAAGGCAGAAACAGTCACATTCATGTGCTGTCAGTGCAGCTAGAGTACGAATTACTCCTTAAAAAATGAGAGTGCATTAAGCCATATAAATAATAAAACTTACATTTTAGAGTATATACTTCAGTAACATTAAAGACACTCATATTGTGCAGTAAGGCTATGTGATAGGACTGTTCCCTAGAGGACATGCCTCTTATGCTTAAGGCAGAAACAGTCACATTCACGTGCTGTCAGTGCAGCTAGAGTACGAATTACTCCTTAAAAAATGAGAGTGCATTAAGCCATATAAATAATAAAACTTACATTTTAGAGTATATACTTCAGTAACATTAAAGACACTCATATTGTGCAGTTATCACCATTACTATCTCCAGAATGCTTGTCATCTTCCTAAACTGAAACTCTGTTCCTATTAAACAGTCACTTCTCAGAGCACATTAATTCTTTAGCTGCTGAATTCTGATAAAAAAAATTGCTGCCTGCTTATCAGTAAGACCATACACTGTATGTTTATTTCCTCATTGTGAGTGGCTAGCATCCAGGCTTCCTGTGGGAGTCAGCCACAGGAGCACCACTGAGGCATGAAGGTCCTAGTATATGTCACATGCTGTAGAAGATCAATTAGAACCAATAAGCTACTACTATCCAAAAGACCTGACCTTTAAAGTTCAGCACTACAATGGGAAAACCATAAGATATAAGATCCAGGAGAGTCACTAGCCAGTTCTTACCTTGTGCAAAAACTCCAGTTTTTCCCCATTGTTCACAAGCTTGTATGTGTAGACAAAGCCCCCTGCCACAGATCGTGGGTTCAGTATCAGGTCCTTGGCCACGCCCACCAGCACATACCAGTCTTCACCAGTGTTGGAGAACCTACACACAGCCACACTGCAGATAGAGAAAGAAGAGTCAGGCATTAGTCAAAACTCTAAAACTCTTATTCCCATGTACCAATCCCTGGTCTGGCCTTTTATCCTTACCTAAAAGCTGCCTCATTTTGTTCCAGCTGGACAAGGTCTAGTGTGTTCCCCTGAATAGGATTCATCACCCGAATCACAGAGGCCCACTGCCCATTGCCAGCTTTGGGAGCTCCAAAAATGGATTCAGGCAGGTTTTCATTGAGGAACGCTGCGGCCATTTCTGCAGCCAGCTCCCGCTCGTCCTCCCCTGCTGCTTCCACCATTTCCTAAATCCAAAAAGGAAGAAACGGTGAGGCGAGGACAAGCAGTACAAAGTCTGTCACCAAAACTAGGATTCCCCAAAGTAGAGATTCAAGGTAGGGCAGGCAAGAAGGCTCAGAGTACAGGCACTAGTGCACAGGCCTAACCTGAGTTAGGCCCCTGGTTCCCATAGTGCAGAAGAGATGACATTCCATATAGCTGTCCTCTGACCGCCACATACACATGCATGCATGTGCGTGCACACACACAAATTAAATTAAATTAAAAAATTAAGCAGACGGATCCCTGTGAATTCAAAGCCAGCCTGGTCTATATAGTGAGTCCCAGGACAGCTGGGGCTACAGGGAGACCCTATCTCAAAAAGGCAAAAAAAAAAAAAAAAGAAAAAAAAAAAAAAAAATTAGATTCAAGGGAGAAATGCACAGACAAGGAGCAAAAGATTACTAAGAGAAAAGTGCACTGCCAACTGCCAGCTACAGTTGGGAAGAAAATGCAACAAACAAACAAACAAACCCTATCTTCAGCTGTGGCAAATACTGGATTACTGCAGTCTGAAAACCTAGAAATGAAAGCCCTACACTACCTAGCCTGCCCAATTTCCTTAGCTAAGACTACTTGCCTCCTCTCTAAAACAGAGGCTGGACAGGGTTTCTACATGGTTGGTGCTCTTTGGTTTTTGTTGGGAAATAATTTCTGGAAGAGCTGACACTGTGGGGGAAATCTAAAAGCTGTATTCTCTGGGCTCAAACCCAGGCATCACATAACGCAGCTTGTTTTGAAAGCTCAAAGACTGTTGATAGAGGGAACTGAATTCTATAACCCATGTTAGCATATTTGTCTAGAGTCACAAAAAAGCTTCTAAAACCAAGGAATAGGGTAAGGAACTCTGCTTAAAGGATCTGAAAAGAACTTGGTTTATATTTTTTTGGTTTTAGCTTTAGGGTTTCCTTTTATTTGTTCTTCAATGTTGAGAATCTAATCCGGAGCCTTGCATATGCTAGGCAAGCACTCAACCACTGAGCATCTCCAGCTCTCGATCTTCAAAAATAACGAAGACTACTGCTGTTTGTAACAACTTTACATGTGATCCCTGCATTTGGGAAGCTGAGGTAGTAGGATCTCCAAGAGTTCCTGGAGAGCTGGGCTATGAGTCCACATCTCCAAAGAGGAAGGAGAAAATAACAGTTATGGAAGTTTAAACTTTTCTAAACAAGTTCATATGCAGGCCTTTTCAAACTGTACCCTTGGGAGCTGGAAAGATGGCTCAGTGTGTGTAACCAAGTACAGCTCTTCCAGAGGGCCTGAGTTCAGTTCCTAGAATCCACATGGTGGCTGACAACCATCTATAACTCCAGTTCCAGGGGATCTGATGCCTTCTCTGGTCTCCATGGGCATTGCATGCACACGGTGTACTTACATACAAGTAGGTATAAAATACTCATAAGTGTAACATTTAAATTTAAATTAAAAACAAAACAAAAAAACTACCCTTCATGGTCAGACCAATTACCTCTGCCATTTGCTGCTTTCTCTGAGCTTTGGTGGCCTCAGTGTAGGCATTGTGATCCGTCTCAATGATGATAAGGTTGTTACTCTCAGGGTGGATGACAAATTTCCTGGGTGTATACTGCAGTGGAAAAGCTACTTGATTGAACACAGCACCAAGTTTCTCCAATGCCAAAATCCTATGGTAACAGGTAAGGGCATTAAAATGTCATTCACTCGGGACCTAAAATGGACCACGAATAAGAGCTAACACAATAGTTGAATCTCTTCATTGCTGGCCTTAGGCAACATGAAATATCAACTCTAAGCTAAAAGACCACACAGGAGGTGAGATCCAGAAGGATCTTTCTCTTTAGCAACACACTCCCACTTTTCAGTGCAATTCTGTTTCATTTCCAGTGAAACAAATTTTATCACTCTATAGCTAATACAGTAAAAAATTCAGGGTTATGAACATGGCTCAGTTTGTAAGACAACAGGGTAAAGCACAGGGACCTGACCAGGACACATATGTGTGGGCCTATAATCCTTGTGCTGAAGGAGGAAACAGGAGGATCTGGGGCATGATGAACAGTCAGTTTAGTCAATCAGCAAACTCTAGGTTCGGTGAGAGTCTTTATTTTTTTCTGGTCTTTTTCATACAGGGTCTCCCTGGAGCCCCAGCTGTCCTGGAACTGCCTGCCTCAGCCTCTCCCTGGTATAAGTCGATCCCCTGACCCCCAGCCTCATTCACTCTCCATCTCCCCTGACCTGTTTCTCCCCCTAGCCTGGGACCTCTCCTCCTTGTCTTGGTGCCCCAGACACTGGGGGAACCACCACTGCTTCCTTTGAATCCAGACCAACTCAGTTCCATCGGGGATCCCCAGGAGCCCTCTGGGCCTGGCCCCACCCTCACCTCCCTCTGCTTCCCTGGTCTGCACAAGCCCCCAGCCTCGTTCCTGGAAGCCAGGGATGACCTTTCCTCTTCTGGATCCTTTGCATTCAGACCAACCCAGTTCCTCAGAGCAGTCCCTAGGAGCCCTTGGTGCCTCTTCCCGCCCCCATCTCCCTTTGCATCTCTGGGAGGCCCCTAGACTAGCATCTTTCCTGGGCCCTGCTCCCAGGCCAGTCCAACCCCCAAATTTATGAGGCCGAAATCTTTCCTGGAGGATCCAGACCTTAGGAGAAAGCCTGAGAGCATCTGATCCTCATCTGACTTGAGCCTTTGTGGGAACTCCTGAAGACAAAAGCAATCTGGCCACTCCCATATAAAATCAAAAGAGAGAACCGGAACTTAGAGGAACCAGCTTTTCATGCCCATAAAGTAAACCACAAAGACGCGTAAAGTTTACAAAAAGAAGCAGACCTAAACTTGAAGGCTTGAGTCTCACACAAGAATCAGAAACTACAAAAGAAATTCACATGTCAAATTCACAGAGAAAAAATAAAAACATGAAAAACCAAAATGACATATCCCCACCAAATACCAAGAGTCCTCTACAGGAGTACAATGAGAACCCCCAGAGATAATGCAGGACATGGAACTCAAAAGAACAATTATAATCATGATAAAAGAATTCAGTGAATTTAAAGAACCCACACAAAAAAAGAAATCAAAGAACTGAAGGAAGATAGGGATAAGTTTCTGAATAAATTCAGAAAAGTGCTAGAAATATTAAAGTCTACTCAGGCTGAAATGAAGAAGGAAG